TAAGCATTCTGTGATGAAATGTTAATAGTAGGATCACCAAGATATTAGACTCTTGATCACTCTTATTTAAAAGTTTAGCTAATGAAGGAGAAGGATGACTATCTAGTGAAATCTCCAAGTTTGCACATAACAGAGAATTTTTTCATATGGGGAAAAGAAAACTCCTGTGATATACTTCTGAAAAACGTCAGGAAAAACCAAGTGAAGGTCAAGAGGTGGAGGTATATTTCCACATGAGCAAGAATAAGGCAATGACTTAAAAAAAAATTGTCTACACTCAAAGGACACTGGACTCTGAGTGATCATTAGAACTTGATAAGGGGATTCAGGAGACATTGCAACCATTCCCTGAAGAGAGCCTTTGGCCTTCAGGGGCAAGAAGATATTGTAATAAGGCAGAAAACATTGCTGCTGCCTTGTACAAACCATAAATCTTCTGCTCTTGGAATCCTGCATTCAGCTCAGGCTGTCCAACCTGTCCTCGTTTTATAAAAGATGAAATAATACTGCAAAGCTCCAGAGAAAACAACTAAAATTATCAACAGGATGCAATATATGAAAATGAATCAGAAAGATTAGAACCATCTGGAAAGGAAAAAAAAGTTGAAGGGGATGTGTTGTGAATCCTTTAAAAGAGTACAGAGTGTGAAAAAATTGTGTCACACTAAGTATCCATCGACTGCTGTGTATATGTATGAAGTAGGAGCTAACTCTTGAATCTTAAAAAAAATAATAATATTGGAACCAGTACAAGACTCAGTGTTTGTCAATATCTGATTCTTCATTGTTTCTTTTCCTAAAGATTTATGGAGCACCTACTATGTGCCAAGCACTCAACCAGGCCCTCAGAGTACCTGGATAAATAGACTGTGACTGTGTCCTTGATGGAAAATTTAACAGAAGAGAGAGAGAGCTATAGAAAAATAGGCGTGATTGCATTATCATAAGTATGTGGTAATAAAAGAAAAGAATCAGTCAGCTTCACAGCTGAGGTGACATTTGATCTGAGCTTTGAAGAATGAGTAAGATTATGTCATCAGACAAGGTGAAAAAGATCATTTCAGACACAGAAAAAAGCATAAGAAAACATAGGGATATGAAAATAGGTGGTCTATTACAGGAAGTGAGAAGCCTGGTAGCGACTCTGCAACTTGGTCTCCAACTCAGGGAGCCATTGGAAGCAACACCAATGGCTGTATGAGTGACACAGCCACTGGAGTTGTTAAGAAGGGAAATGACACAATCAGACTCACATTTTAGAAATGAGGTTCAGCATGTATTACTCTATGGAAGTGGTGGAGCCCAGGAAAGAAATATCTAAGTTCAAAAGCTTTGATGAATGAATACATAGAAACGTAAAACAATTCATGTATCTCCCAAATCTTATGAGGTTGACATCACCAGAATGACATCACCAGGACAGACTAACAAACGTCATGGCTTTATCCCTGCCAAGCCTTAGCCAGGGCCTGACCAACCCTGAATATACCATTTTCTACATCTTGCTCACCTAAAACAAAGCCAGTATGGGCTGTGTGTGTCCAATAGTGTAATAGAAAATGAGAAGCCCTCTTACAAACAGAAGCATTGCCCTTTTTTGACTTTGAACTCTTGTGAACCCAAGTGGCTTCTGCCTTGCTGGACAGTGTCACCTGTGAGATTTCACATGGATGTGCAGCTGCTGTCCAAAAGTGCAGCAAATACAAGGAGAGCAGAGTTTTGATTCCTGAAAATGCATCTACCAAATGACAAACAGGCTGGTACAAGGGTACAGAGTAAAACCATCTGGCGACTAACTCAGGACCATTTTTACAGATGTAGAACACATCCCTGTATCTAGAATGGAATGGAATGGATCCTAACTGTGCTGTTGCTAATGTTTGCTGGCGCCTCTACCTGGGTGAAGTGGTAGCTAGAAAGGACCAAAACATTTCCACCTGCTGAAAGAGAGATTTGCCTTTAAGGGTTTTCATATTCAGATCGGGGTAGGAAGAAAGCCCACAGAAGTGAGAGTGTTTATGAGGACAATGTAGAAGAGGAGCTTAAGCCAAGATCAATGATGAATCATGGAGCACATGAGTGAGATCCAGATGAAACCAGCAGGATCCTGTTCCCAAAGGGAAAAAAATGATCTGTTTGTGACTAACCTATCTTGGAACGGTATTTTTCTGGTGGTAGCTTATGCAATGCTTTCTCATAGTGTTTTTCAGCCTTACACTTTTATTTTATTATAATTCCCATTTTACAGGTAGATTAACTTGAAACTCCATGAGGTCAATGACTTGGCCAAGTTTGCACAGCTGATTAGCACCAGAGCTGGAACTTAAAAGCAGGTCTTCTGAGTCTCGACTCAGCCTTCTTCCCTCCTCACTGTCCTCACTGTTGAATGGCTCGTCTCTGATTCCTCACGTAACTGGGCACTCAAAAAGACAGACCTAGTTGTGTAGCCCTGCTCATATGTCTCAGTATGAATAAGGGAATGGTAAGAGAAGGAGACTCCCATTCCTTGGCTGAAAGCTGATGGAGAAACTTAAAGGTTCTCAGGTGGCAGCCACACACCAGAACCAAAGTCCTCAAAGCACCTTGAAATTCCTAAAGGATAAAAATATTTAATATTCTTTCTTTGTCTTGGAAATTATAGGCATAGACCTACAGTAGCCTCATTTTGACAAAGCACACTGGTAATCTCAATGCACATTCATTAGTTACCCTCCTACTGCCCCCAAGAGATAAGGAAAGAACATTTTATCAGCAGGGAAATCACAGCAAACAGGGAGAGTAGGTGATCCAGCATCACCTAGAAGATCTTTGCCAGAGATAAGCATGCATCACTTAATATCCCATAATACTTGGATTTCTGTCCCTAGTTTCTTGTCTATGTCACTCGTATGCTAAGTGCTGTTCTGGAATACCATACCTATCACTGAATGCTTGCAGATGGAAAACTAAATAAGTAACTAAATGGCTAAGGGTGTCAGATGATTGCCTCTTTAGAAGCCCAGGGGGTAGACCTGCAAATGGTGACCAATGAATATAAAAATCAATTTTTATCAGCAGATAAATTTTAGCAGGGTTAGGCACTAATATCACTTTAAGTAAAAGCAGCACTAATTTCCTTTTATTTGGCTATAATAGACTCAATGACACCAGCTACCCTACCGTGGGGCATCCTTTACCACAGAGCAGTTCTCCACATTGAGAAAGGGGACATTTAGAAGCCACTGTGAACAGGCACTGCTCTGTCTATACATTCGTACTTAGAGCTTTCAGTGCATTTAAATTGCTTTCTGCAGCAGTCGAAGGAATCAATAGCTCTTAGACTATTTAAGGGACGAATAATATACAAGATGGACATTTTAAGCTCTTTAGAAAATATATTCATGAGGTCATCCAGTTTCCCCTGGTACCCAACTTTGCTGGTGACATTTATTAATGTTTTTGCAGCAAACAGGAGGTGGAGTTCTCCAAAGGCTCTCATCTCTGTTCTTCCAGAAAACATTGATTTTCTTTTTTTACAAGACTGAGGAAGAGGGGAGGGGATAAAAAAATACTCAAAGCAAAAAAAAAAGTCTCACAAAAGAATAACTCAGCTTGAAGCTGACTTGACAAAGTAATTCTATCTAAATAGCCTTGTGCCACTTGATAGAGACAATTTCTCCTGATTTTCTCTTTGAACAATTTCATAGTCTTCATAAGAGACATGCTTTGAGAATATTATGCTCTTAATGGGAATGTAGGACTTTCTACTGAATCTTCCTACGAGTGAGAGAAGACAGCTTTACATTACTGTGGATTTGGAAAGCTATCTTAAAGTCTAATTAATTAAGGTTAATTAATTAGACGTTTGATAAAAACACTGTGAGATGTCAGACTGGGGAAAAAATAACTACTTGATCATGGCTGCTTGAAAGAAAATGTTGGAATGCATTTGGAAGCTCAGTCTGACTCAGAGGCCTGTAAGAGCTTGGGTAGTTGATGGAGTTTGTGAGAAACCAGGTACTAAAATTTCTTCCTCCAAAAAAGAGGGGAGAATTAATTCCACTGATGCTCTTTTGTTAAGTTGATAATGATGTTAAGACTTCATACAAAGACTAAATATGCTGGTATGAACCAGGCAGGGCAGTGGTTAGAGAATGGGTGTACAGGTGTCAAGTCCATTCATGCATATTGAGATAGCTAAGTGCCAGACACTGTGTGGGGGTGAGGAGATAATGGTGTACAAAATAGGCCCTAGTCTCACCTTCACTTTGCTTTCAGTCCTGTGCTAGATTGTAACAAGTGACTCAGTAGGTCTACAAAATGGCTATTTTGTAGCCCACAAAGTGTTTTTCTTATTAGTTGTGAACATGCGGAAATGAGTAAATTTCACATGCAAATCCAGATATTTAGTTTCTCTTGAAAAATGACAACACAGGGCAGGATTCCTGAATCTCCTGGAGCTCAGCAGTGACGTGCTCTTTAAATTGATCATACATGCTGCCATCCCCCTGCCCCTAGACTCATATATTACCCACTGCCCTTCCCTGTGGGCATGGACTTTGTCAGTTATTACAGACACACATAGAATTGGAAAATACACACCTCCAATGCAGAAAACAAGGATTGAGTGAGACATGTGTCTGAATACCTGGGAATCCTTAGCTAAGCTATTGAGATTACTCTATCCACTGCCCACATTTCATCGAGTCGTTCTTCCTACCTTGTTTCAGCGGTATTGAAGACCTTCTTTCTCCTCAACGATCTCATACACCCCAAAACCATTTCAAATAATCGCTCATTATTGATCATAACACTCCAGCTAAAGTTCTCCTGGTCTCTAACCCTGGAAGCTGCCCCCCCACCTAGCTCCTGCCATCACCCCCGGAGAAAAGAAATGCTCCTCAACCCATAGGTATATACCTCTGTTAACCAATGGTTGGGGGTGGGGAGGCTGAGTGGTGTTGCCCGGGTACTCAGCCTGTTTCCTGCTCTTTGCCTAGCTGGCTATTCTTGTCCTTTAGGCTTCAGCTCAAATACCAGCTTCCAAGAGGATCCATCATGACTATCCTGCTCAAAGAAGCACTTGCTGTCTGCTGTGAATCTAAAGTATCACAGAGAGAGAGAACATGAGAGAACCGGAGGCATCAGAGTACTGGCTTCTACCCAAGACCTCAGGATTTCCTGAACAAGAAAAGACAATGGGGAAATGAGTAGGGAGGGCAGCTCAGGGCTATAAGAAAGAAAGGTTTATGGGGTTCCTGGGTGGCTCTGTCAGTCAAGTGTCCAACTTCAGCTCCCGTCATGATCTCATGGTCCGTGAGTTCAAGCCCCGCATCGGGCTCTGCTCTGACAGCTAAGAGCCCAGAGCCTGCTCTGGATTCTGTGTCTCCCTCTCTCTCTCTCTCTCTGCCCCTCCCCTGCTTGTGCCCCCCCAAATTAAATAAACATTAAAAATGATGTAAAAATAAATAAAATAAAAAGAAAGAAAAGTTTATAACTGCTTCTTAGAACTGAGGCACCTGTGAAAGATCCCTGCTGTGTAAAAAAGACCCATAGGTATAAAGGAAGGATTCAGAGAGCATCAACCAAAGGAGCTTGCCCTCCTTGGGGGCCACATTGAAGCTCTACTTGGGTTGCTCCCATTATCCCCTTCCTGGACTTAAGGTCCTTTCTCTTTGATACCATTCCATTTGCCCAAAAGCAAGCGGGAACAAAGACTTCTTTCTAAAAAGAACATTTTTTTAATTGTCTGCTAATCCAAGTCTCCCTGTTCTTCTTGAATTTCCCCCCAAATAATCTGATATTTTTGTTTCTTGGGCATAGCTTGCAAAGTTTCTCAAAAACAGAACAAAACAAAAATCCTTGCTTTTCCAATTGCCACCCAAATCCAATACATTTAGATGCTTCCCCACCTGTTAGATTCACACAACATAAGGAACCTTTCGTTGAGAGGATTGTGGCCCTGGAGGTGAGTCAGCAAATATATGCGACTGGTAGATATGAAGCAATGGGCTGTCCACCAGTGGGAATTCAGAAACTATTCAACATGCCCTGCGTGCAGAGAGCTTAGAGTCGAATTATAGTCCAAAATATAAATAAGATTCCCATACAAGGGGTCACATGTGTTTGTATGGGATATGAGACAAGTCACATAAACATAAGAACTATAAATATTTGAAGGAAAGAGACATTAGGGCAGGAAAGGCTAGACCAAAAGGAAAGAGTGGAGCTGGCTATTGAAATCTGATGAGAATTTACATGAGTTTGGAGTACAAGAACATACAATAAGAGATGACATTGCATGGGTGAGGGGAGGGGGTGGAGCCAGTGGAGACTGAAAGCTAAGACCAGCAAATGCACCCAGACTGTAGACCCATGGCTTCTCCCAAGAGCGTCCCCAGGAGGTCCTGTTTCTGTCTGCTCATTACCATCCCCCAAAGTGCTCCATTATTTTATTAGTTCCCCATATAAATTATTTATCTGAGAGACTGCTGATGCTGACCAGCTCTGATAAGTAATGTCTTCTATGGGAAATGACGCTGGAGGGACGAGGGGCTCCTGTGCCTGCCAAAACATTGAAAATCAATTTTCATTCCTTTTTGTGTGTGCGGGTGTCTGTGTGAAGATCGTGGCGGATGGGGGCTGTTCCGATGATGGCTGCCCTTTCTTGTGGGTCTCCATCTGGTCTACAAATTAGATTTGGGAGGACAACATGAGGGAAGTTGCCTGGGGAACTACTCCTGGTGGTGTTTGTTATAAAGCGACTCATAATAACTTGACTGGGAGCAGCACATTAAAAGGTCGCCTCATTTTATCTCCAGTATGCTTCCTTTGAAAAAAAAAAGTCACCTCACAAACACATTTAGAGAACAATTTGTTAGTGTATTTACCTTCTCCTTGTCATTCAGGCTGAGCTTAGCCTTGGGAAAGATCATCACCTTCCAGACTGTTCTAAAAAGCTCATAAAAGCTTTGCACAATTACTTTTGCTTCTTTTACCAACAAATGGCTCTCTTAACTGCTCAACTGCTGGAAGTTTCCTTGGTGTTCTATGGAGCTGTGCTGTCTGATCTCAAAGGCTACCAGTAATAACCAGTAGTATGCCCCTTTTAAGGAAAGCTGAGCTGTAAGAGTTAAAAATTTACACAGCAGAGAAGTAACCTGAAATTAAATGAAGTAGAAAAGGGGCTTTGATTCACTTTACAAAACTGCTCTCTGTGCTCTTTCAAATTTGACTCAACTTATAAAATTAAACATGAGTCACCTTCTCCTGGGTAAAGGTAGAGATGTCACATAGGCTTTACCAACCTAATGGCAACTGTGCCCTGTAGGAGGAACAGTTAATGTCAACACAGATGCAACACTTGACCCTATGAGAATGGAGTTTTGGTTCACATTTTTTTTCAGTAGTCGTATATTCTTGAGTCTTCAGTGGCCTGGTCTCATCTGATATATCTGATACACACACACGCACACACACACACACACACACTCACACACACACACACACACACACATCTATGATTTGTCAAAATGTCTAGACAATTTTATTTATTTTTCTAGTACATTTTTTATTATTACTTTCTCCTATTCTTCCATAAATTTTGAGAGTCTTTTAGGAGATATTTCAAAGGAATTTCTCTAGGTACTTTATGAATGCACAATAGAAGTCATTGACTTATCTTCTATGTTTAATATTATGTATTTTTCTATTTTAATTTGGTTTATAAATTCCTTTTTATGTTAATGTCTTTTATTTATTCTTATTTTTTAAATTTTTAAATTTTTGTTTTTTAGTTTATTGTCAAGTTGGTTTCCATATAACACCCAGTGCTCATCCCAGCAAGTGCCCTCCTCCATGCCCATCACCTCCCTTCCCCTCTCTCCCACCCCTATCAGCCCTCAGTTTGTTCTCAGTATTCAAGAGTTTCATGGTTTGCCTCCCTCCCTCTCCCCAACTATTTTCTCCCCTTTTCCTCCCTGATGGTCCTCTGTTAAGTTTCTCCTGTTCCACTTATAAGTGCAAACATATGGTATCTGTCCTTCTCTGCCTGACTTACTTCGCTCAGCATAACACCCTCAAGTTCCATCCACGTTGCTACACATGGCCAGATTTCATTCTTTCTCATTGCCATGTAATATTCCATTGTATAGATAGACCACATCTTCTTGATCCATTCGTCAGTTGATGGACATTTAGGCTCTTTCCTAAATGATGCCCCTGTGCATCAGCACTCCTGTATCCCTTGGGTAAATTCCTAGCAGTGCTATTGCTGGGTAATAAGGGAGTTCTACTGTTAATTTTTTGAGGAACCTCCACACTGTTTTCCAGAGGGGCTACACCAGTTTACATTCCCACCAACAGTGTAGGAGGGTGCCTGTTTCTCCACATCCTCGCCAGCATCTAGAGTCTCCTGATTTGTTCATGTTAGCCACTCTGACCGACATGAGGTAGTATCTCAGTGTCGTTTTGATTTGTATTTCCCTGATGATGAGGGATGCTGAGCATCATTTCATGTGTCTGATAACCATCTGGATGTCCTCTTTGGAGAAGTGTCTGTTCATGTCTTCTGCCTTGTCTGGACAATTTTAAAGAGACGTCTGAATTCCACTTTATCTCACCAAATTTGGTGGAGTGACCAGTACATGCTTAGCAGGAAAATACCTAACAATCCTCTTGAAATTGCCATGAGACAGGTGTGACTCTTTCTGAAGTTTTCCCACAGATGCTGGGCAAGAGTTCAGCTCAAGGTTTTAGCCCACAGGTATGAACTTGGATTCTCTCCTGTGTCTTATAAACCATCGTATCCTGAAGGTGAACTGGGAGGTCTACATTCAACTTGCCTCTCTAATTCCAGGAGGAGTCAGTCTTTCTCACCCTCTGCCTGAGGGAGTTCAGATCCAAGGAGAATCCTGGCCACCAGTGTGATAGCCCTATGCACCCCTCAGAGGAAATCCTGGTGAACTTGCCATGGTAGTTACTTCTTTTCATTCCACTCCAAGTGCATCTTGAAAGTGAAAATTGCAGTGAGACTTGTTTTGGGCTTCAACACGCAAATTCACAAATGCAGTAATGGGTTTACTTTTTCTGGTGTGAAGAGAAGTCCAGAGGCAGGCTGGCGAGGATTAGCGCAGTAGCTCAAAGACACGGGCAGAGACCAGGTGCCTTGTGCTTCTGCTGTGTCACCTCAGTGATTGTCTATCATCCTCATGGTCATGTGATGTCACATGGTCACAGTGTCCTGGCTACAATTCTAGAATACCTTAGAAGAACAAGTAAGGGAGGAAATGTGAGAATGAAATGAATCTGTACCCCTCCCAGGACCTTTCCAGAAGGTGACATCCATTTACATCTCCCTGGCTGGAAATGTTCCATTCAGCCACCCCCTATATGCAAGGAAAGGCTGGGAAAGAACTAGATTCACTGCCACCTTAAACAGAGTCCGAGTTGAATTATTAAGGAAAGAGGTATCATACAGACATTCTGCAGCATCAGCCACAAAGAGTAAGAATTGCTTGCTTTCTTTAGACCCAAACTACAGCCTGAAAATTAATATATATTACAGAGCTACAAATGAAAAATAATCACATTTCTTATAAGGACAACCAGAAACTTCCATTCCCTTGTTTTTCCTTTGCTGGCCTTGCAGATTTCTTACAGTTGGTATTTACTGTGGCCAAGTCTAATTCGTTCATTTATGAAGCTATCTCAGGCACCAGCAGAAGTCATAAACTATTCATCTCTGGAATGTTTATATTTGAGAAGGTCACAGTATTGAGTGTATGTGTACGCCAAGGCCCCCTCTCTCTTTTGGGCCCCTTGTGGCCTGGGCCTGCTATTTTCCTTTGAACAGTGAAATGAGATGTACACAGCTCAAAATACATATTGTGCTTTCCCACAAGCTCCAGAGAGCCTCTTCAAGTAAAAGAGGGTTGGACCCTCTCCGACTCCGGTTTTTCCTCTCCATCCCTCTTGCCATTCTTACCGCTTTTGACCATAGGCAAGTATCCGGTGACTAAAATGGCTTTATTTTTCTTCATGACTTCTTCCCCACTATGGATATCTCTGGAATCTTAATGTCAAAATACAAAAGAGAAGGGATTTCAGCTCCTTGGTCTTTCATTCCAAAACCCCAAATAAAAAATGAGATTCAAGGAAAGAAATGCTGGCTTCCTGAAAAGAAGTGGTCCCGGAATCCCCTCTACACCACAACCCCTTTGCTCGTCTGCTCTTTGGAATGATCTTGTAGCTGAGCTAAAAGTATGGGATCCAGAGCACA